TATCAATTCATGCATTTTTAAATTTATTTTTAACATTGCCCCTTTCAGTAATTGCTCTCAATGCAACTGAGACAAACTATTTCTTTTCCTAAAGATTGCTCCTTATTGCACATACACAAGATTTGTCGAGATTTATGATTCTAATTTAAAATATGGAGAGCATGTTATTATTTTCTTAAAAATAACTGGCTAATACTAGGCAGATCAGAGTTGTCTATTCATTAAGGAGAATTTTGGATAAAATGTGATTCTCTTTTTCTAGAAAGAAATTTGAAAAGTAGAAATGGCGAGTAATCATAAACCTCCTACAGCACGTCCTTCTTCACGAATAGGCCTGAGTGCTAGGCCACCTTCATCCTCATTACGACCTCCATCTGCAGCATTACTTGGAGGAGGGGTAAGTTAATATTAATTTATTCAAAAACCAAGGAATCAGTTTCCCCTTTCCAATTTAGATATATAGTAGGCACTGATATGTTTTGTTAGGCAAATGATATTAAGGCAGTTCTACATGTTTATTTGTGTCAAAGAGATTACTTTGAAATACCCTCCCTGTAGCTAATTGTGTGCCAGTATTATGGGAATCTTCCATGCCTGGTTAGGGCTTGGATGAGATACACCTTGACTTCTCTGGTGTCATACCTTTCTTTGGCTTCTGGTTGTTATGTAAATCCTGCCAATATGATTTGTGAATCATGGTCTACAAATTATGATATATTCAGTAACCATTTGCAGATTAACAAACAAATGGCTTAGTTTAGTGGATTAACATACTGTCTTGAAGAGATTCTAGGAGAAATCCTTTTAATCATATGAACAGTAGGATCTTAAAATCTTTTCAATTCACTACTTCTTTATCCATATCATATCACTAGCTATTTCCCACAGTGTAAAAGCTAATGTACATCTTTTGCATTTGCACAATCTCTGCCTGCCTATAACAGCTCTTTCTTTAAATAATCTGTTTTATATATGACATTAAAAGCTAATCATTTTTTAAATTTCAGTACCTTAGCCTGTTGATTCATAGTTACTAATTGGAACAAACTGACTATCCTGTTCTTTGGGAGTGCTATTTTAATTAGGTTTTCCTATTCATTTTGATTTCTGTATCAGATGCCCCCAGGTACATCCAGGCCTGGTACACGTGGTGGATCCATAGGAACTGGTGTGGTTTTGTCCTCTCAAATCAAAGTTGCAGACCGTCCAGTGACACAGCAAGGACTGAGTGGAATGAAAACAGGAATGAAAGGTATTTTGAGATATGGAAGTACAAGAATATTAACCTAAATTATCTTTTTATTTCCATTCAAAGGTTAAAACCATTACAAGGTAAAAATTAAATGAAAATTAAAAAGGTTAAATAATTAATATAATATACAACAATATCTCATCTAATAGGAATGTAGATTCCATTCCATTAGATCCAAGTTTTCCTTACAGCAATTGTTATTGGATAGAATTTAGCAACCTTGGTTACTTCAGAGAAGTCTGCTAGGTCCAGAAGGCAGTGGATCAGACAGCAAATGCTATATATTAAAGTATTCATGCAACAACTTTACTCCAAGAGTGTACTGATAGCCATTTGCTTCTGGGTACAATGTAAGGTGCTGGTAGTCATCTTTATAGTTCTTCAAGATTTGAGATCTAGGTACTTTTGAGACACATTCTCTCTGTAACATCTACCCATGATTAGATCTGATATGCTAGACTTGCCACATGTCCTCTCAATTAGAGGCCACCACTTTCAGAGACCACACAAACACACCTTTTTATTTGCTACCCATTGCTCTGGAAGTGTCCTCCCCCTTTCTTATTGGCTTCTTCCCTCCTGGGAGGCTAGATTGTTTATAATTACTTCTTAGTCACAAGCTTAGGTTCTTTCACTATTATGAATGTTTATACATTCATGTTCCAGAGGACAGAATAGGACACTTTGTCGCTGCCAGCTCACTGCTACTGGCTCACCGTCCCTGGCTTGTCCTGGCTGTCTCACCGCCACAGGTTGCCACCACTAGCTTGTCCCAGTCAGCTCATCCTGAATGACTTGCTGCAGGACAACTCACTCTGCAAGAAACAATGAGGCGGAGGGGCTGGCCTGCCCTGGCCAAATCCGCAATGAGATACCAGCGTTCTAGTAGTCCTGGCTAGTTGTCCTGCAGGGTGAGTTAATTATTGGAGGAAAACCCAGAACTCTCAGATTCGGGTCTTCCCAGATGTGCCAGTATGATAACTCTAATAAAATAGAACTTTGAGAAAATGCCTGTCTTGGAGTTTGGGTGTTGGAGTTTGTTTCCCTGGAACGCTGACACCAAGGCCTATAGTTTTCTAAATTTATAGATCATATATTATCTTTAACCTTTTAGGGGGGAAATGCTACATTTTTTGTCATGTGAATAAATATTTTCTCTATATGATAATTTTGTTTTGCAAGAATCATTTTGCTATTTTCAATTAAATCTTTTTGTCATATCAATAATATTTTTTTTCTTAGGTCCACAGAGACAAATTATGGATAAATCCTATTACCTTGGAGTGCTTAGGTATGTGAAAGAATTTGTCACTAGTTAGATGGGATGGGTTGGTTCAAATGTTGTATAGTAGTCAACATTTGAAAAAAAGTATAGTATCAAGTGGTACACTCTTAAGATCTTAATGAGGAAGGTGTAGGGTTACAGTACTTCTCAATATATCATTTTCTCATGGAATGAAATAAATTCTTGCCATCCTAATAGCAATTATACTTTATTCTTTTTTGTACTATATGTTTCGTGAAAAGTGTTGCTTTGAGAATTTGCTTTTCCAGAAATCCAAAATTGGTAACTATTTTTGGTTCAGATAATACAGCAAGCCTAAGAGAATAAAATAAGCAAAAGTAATATGGTATGATTAGCAAACTTTTTTTGATTTGCATGTCACATGACCACATGAAGCTCCAAAACTTGGGAATGTCATAAAATTGTAGCTAAGCTGGATATATTTAACCATAATTTGGAAAATAATATCTTGTTTTCACATAATCACATAAGTCATATTGAGTGAATTCACAAATAGATCAGAAGTGAAGAAACCTACATTTTACCTTCATAGTTTAAATTTGACTCCCTTCTATCTGTCTATGTGCTCGTTAGAGTCAGTCTAATTAAAGACTCTTAACTATATCTAATTTAAGGATTTTCATTCTACCATTGTAATGGGAGAATTGATAATTATAAAAACATTTTTGTAAAGAAATTTCTTTTTTGTAAAGAAATCTATCAAAACCTGTAATAGTTCTTACTCTAGGAAAAACTAGCTGACCCTAAAATAATACAGTGTTGTCAAATTGGTCAATGATAAACATATCCTCTTGTATATTAAATTGATATTTTAGAACATGTGGAAATTTTAAAAGGCACCTATTAAAAATCCTAACTATTTTAAAATTAAAATCAGGAGTGCAGGTCCTTGAACAATCCAATTTAGTGCATGTTCAATTTAGTCCTTTATTGTCAAAATGAAAAAAAGTAGTAGTATTTATAGTACATTTGGTTCTCTCAAGTATCACCTTAATTTAAATGATACGAAATTTCAGCACTACCAAAGATTACATGTTAACATGATCACCCATTTCTTTTCTTATAGAGGCAAAATAAATGAGCTTACCACAGAAATCAATAAGCTTCAGAAAGAAATTGATATGTATAACCAGGAGAATTCTGTCTATCTGTCTTATGAAAAAAGGTAAGCTAAACTACCCATCAAAATCTGTAAATACACTTATCCTTAGTGGATTCATATTTATAAGTAACTTTTGGGTTGGAAGTGTAAAACTGAGCTTATTTTATAACCTTGTGTTTTCTTGTGCTCTTAGAGCAGAATCTTTAGCTAGTGAAATCAAAGAATTTCAAGGACAGTTGGCAGACTACAATATGGTATGTCATTGTTTCACATATAATTTTTAATATTTAGATTTAATTATGCAATATGAAAATTGGACTCAATTTTGAATTGCATTTGAAAATAACTTTCCAACTATTGTTTCTCTAATCTAGTTCAGACCATTGCAGATTTGACAATAACTATGCAACACAATAATGCCTTTGATTTTGTTCCTATATGATATTACATAAAGAATTGATTAACTTTTCTTGTTGATTTAGTTGGTAGATAAACTTAACACAAATACTGATATGGAGGAAGTAATGAGTGACTATAACCTGGTAAGCATAAAACTGATGTTTCATTTCAGTATTAGTATTACTTATTGCACATATGGTGATGTTACCAATCATTTTGTCTTTTTTAATAGTTAAAAGCTCAAAATGACCGTGAAGCTCAGAGCATAGACATTATTTTTACAGAAAGACAGAGGTAAGTACCTAAATTCGTTTTTTTTTAAAATGTAGAATGGAATTTTCATATTTTCATAATATACACTTTGTCCAGTGTATATTTTCAATCATTTGAAGAAGCCTTTCACAATTTGCATATTTACCACACTCAAAAACAATAGTAGTCACAAGTATTGGCATAAATATTGTGAAGCAGTTCTTATTAAGTGTGGGGTAATTCAGTGCAGTTAGTGGCCTCTGAAGGGAGAGGTATACAGTAGAGGAGAGCAGATTGACAAAAGCAGTGCTCCACGATCACAACCACATTTTTCTATTGTATTGCTGCATGCATTCCCATTTACCCAAATTTTTATTTATATTTCCCATTTCTTAAATACCCATTCCTTCATAGATTAATTATGTAAATAAATGCAAATAACATAGACATCATAAAACAAATGTCATAAATTACTGTAGAAATTTAATTCATTGCATTAGAAATCCATCATATCAATATCTGCTAAATCAAAGTTGTAATGTTTTTCTTAATAAGTTTAGATCACATGAAATTGATCAATGACAAACAACACAGATTGTGTATTTTTGTCTTATATATAGGACAGTGAAAGGCACAATTCTGTGCTATTAACAGAAATAGTTTCAGTCTATAATATATATGGTAAGCATTTATGGATCAATATATTTGTCTTCAATAAATCCATCATCTTCTGGAACATATGGACAGAATTGTTCAAAAACAGCTGTAAACTCTTCTTCATTAGTCTCTGATGTTTGTGAGGGCATGCATAATTGAGGTGTGAATGTTTCTTCAAACAGCTCAGATTCTTCTTTTTCTTGGAGACGTCTGTGATTATAGCTTTTTAAATAATGGTACCACATCGGAAACTTGATAGCAGCCATAATCAGTGCTGTAGTGCTGAGGATAACTGCTAGGACTCCCATCGAAAAAATCCAGCTTTTGCCAATGGGCTGAATAACTGCAGGTTAAAATAAAGTATTTATAATGTGCAGTCATCCTCCATAACTGTCTTTTCAACACAATCTTTCTGAGAAATTGCTTGATTTTCAGAGGCCATTTATTAATTTCTATTGATCTGATTAAGCAAACTGTACTCTTCCTTATGAGAAATATGGGCTTTAGGTTATCTACCTATTGAATTTTTAAAAAAAGATTTGATAAATGCTGTAAACATTTAAAGTAATTTTAATTGAATATTATACTGTAATTGTTATTTATTAAAATTGTCAACTGGTATGATACTTTTAAATATCACATAAGGAATTTCAACTGAATTAATAATAGATCAACTTTCTACATGGATCTCTGATACCTGCCTAAGTCATGGTCTAATTTATTCAAGATTAATGGCTCACCTAGTTTGTCCTTGATGTGAGTATAGGGCCAATCCTACAACTTCAGCTGGGATCTATTTGACTTTCATGAGAGGAAATGGTTGCTATATCTGATAGCTAAAGCCAAAATTTTATGCTCAAACAGACATGCAACAAATAATTGGAATGTTGAACTATCCAGATTATCTGATTAGCAACGGCAATAGCACTTTGACTTATATACCGCTTCATAGTGCTTTACAGCCATTCTAAGCGGCTTACAGAGTATTTTACCCACCTCGGAAGGATGGAAGGCTGAGTCAACCTTGAGCCTGGTGAGATTCAAACTGCCAAATTGCAGGCAGCCAGCAGTCAGCAGAAGTAGCCTGCAGTACTGCACTCTAACCACTGTACCACCGTGGCTCAATAAACTGTAGCTGATTAACTGTATTTAGCCAATATGCATGTAAAGATACTCAGTACACGTTGCAATTTAACGTGTTCAGTTATGTTCTGCTAGGGAAAAGATTGTTTTGGTTAAGTGGTACCCATAAAATTATTTCAATATATTTCCTGGTTTGAAATGTAAAGCATGATTGAAATAACTAAGTTGGGAAGAGGGAAGGTTGAGAAAACACTATTTAGTTGGCCATTCCAGATACACCAGAGAAAAAATCAGCTTCCAATCCTTTACAAGAATAAGAAAAAAATAAAAAAAATAAAACGGAATTGAACCCTGCATTATGCATGAATGCATCTGCCCATCTATCTGAACGATGAGCTTTTAATTTGGCAGAAGCTGCTCTTTGCCTCAGTTAGGTAGCTTGGAGCTTCATTTATTCAAGCGGACTCCTAGATTTCTATGAATGTGCCAAGTTTCAGATAGAATATTGCAGGCATTTGAGGGGAATTTTGACAAAAGCTATTCTTAAATGGAAAGCAATATGTTATAAATGTTTTAATTTGCGTGAATGGAGGACAGTCAGTGGAGTATTAAACAAATCTAAGCTGAATTGCTCAGTGAATATTGGTAATTACTCAAGACTATGCACATTCTTTTTTTTTTCTTCTAGTTAGCAGACCTACAGACATTTTTTATGTTTAAAAATATTCAGTGCTTCAAAATCCATATAAATGAATTATATTATTTTTGACATTTTTTTTCTGAAACGATATACCCCATATATACACTTAATTATTATTTAAACTGAAATTTACCTGAATATGCAGATCCATTTGTATAATTATATGTAGTGCCATAGGTAGTATTAATAGAAGTAAAGGGTGAGACAGTTGTTCCAGATATTCCCATTTGTTTACAATTTAATGTATTTGTTTCCTTGATATGATATTTTTTCAGAGCAACTGGAATAGGGCACATAGTCTTGTTCTCATTTTCTGTAAATATATTCAGTATCAGCATGGCCTGCACTCTTGTACAAAGATAAACTTTTTATATTAAAAATATTGTTTAGTTTATAAATTTAAAAAATGGAGGAGGTCCACTGTCAATGTGGTTGACAGTGAAGCAAAATAAATAGCATATAACATAATAAACCTAAATGAATTTATATTCATTTTAATCTAACAGAAAAGAAAGCCAGGAGAACAAACAAACAAAACCCTGAGTCTTTTAGGACAGTTAACCAGCTAAACATATTGACAGAAAATACTTAGCATTCATGTACAGAAAGCAAACTTCATTTGAGAACTTAAAGAAACACTGTCGCGATTTACTAGTCTTACTCATTAACAACTGGCTTGCATGTATCAGAAGAATTTTGTAGTGAAATGCCACTTTCTTGGTGCCAAATTTAGTAAATAGCTAATTCAAAGCAAAGATATATTCAATCACTGTTGGCCTCAGTAATGGAATATTTTGTTAGATAGCCATCTGGAAGATGTTACAGCAGAAAATCAATCCTAGTAATGTATACTATATCCCAAAAACTGGACATTCAAGGAAAACAATTTCTGAGTAAATGTATGAATGTGATGTTTTAACTGTATCATTATAAAACTGAATGACATATATCATTGTGTTAGTTATCTGTTTGAATTGCATTAATTGCTTTCCTAGAAGAATATTCTTTAGAACCCAAAGTGACTCACTTATAAGCAGATACCTAAATGTAGGATTATCAGATCTGTTTTGGAAAACTCTGAACAACTACCAGATGATAGCAATTAAAGTTCTCTGTATGCTATCATCTAGTGGTCCCCTTGATTTTCTTTTCAGCTCAGATCTGGTAGATAGCTTAGTTGAAGTATGCAAAATTATTTTACTGAAATATATTATTCTGAATAAATTTCTGGTTCACTGTGCAAACATCTTTTCTAACCCACTTGGCTAAACAGATAGCTTTTGAAATTGCTATTTTGAATACTTTAAAATATGAGAACTATATTTAGTTTCATATGGGGATGTTAACAAGTGTATTAAACCATGTCTTAATGCTTCATATGTGACTGGAATGAGCCCAAACCAGGTCCTGCAGTATTAGACAAAGAACTGCCAATATTTAGTTTCACTTTCAAGGATACTATGGTAGCATTGTGCATAAATAAGTTCATTAAAAAAAACTCAGTTATATAAGCTAATTTCACAATCCAGTTGTTTGGACATCACGTTAATGTTGTATATAAGCCAAGTCTCTTAGGCTACTCCAATATACAGTTTTCTTTTACAGTTTTTGGCTCCCAAATTAGGAATTTCAGAAAGCAATTCTGAAATTACTTTTAGAAATGGAAAAATAATCAAGACTAAATATAGACCTACCTGTTATCACAGTAGAGTTATTCAGCCAATGTTGTAAACTAAGAAGGTCACATGAACAAGTCCACGCATTTCCTTTTAATTTAATACATATTGAATTAAATGTTACCTTAACATCAAAATCTTTTAGAAAATTGTTTTGTAAGTTTAGGACTTTCAACTTGTTTAGCCCTGAAAATACATCAGAATTTAACTCTGTAATTTTGTTATTTTGTAGATTCAGAATCTGTAATTCATTCAAACCAGCAAATGCTGCTTTTTCAACTGTTTTGATATAATTACTACTGATATCAAGAATTTTTAACTGTAAAAACTTTTCAAAGCTGTAATTAGAAACAAGAATAATAGAGTTGTTGTTCAAATACAGTTCTGAGAGATTTTTGTACTGGCAAAGTATTTCTTTGTCATTCTTGTCTAAAATAATATGGTTACAACTAAGATATAACACAGAAATGTCTTTGTTTAGGTTAGAAGGAACAGAAGAATGGTCTTTTGCCACTTCCTGACAGTTTACCTGTTAAATAGAGAGAGAAAACAGTTACAGAAATATCAAAACAAATTATTTACCAAAAACCTTTAACAAATCTGTATAATATTTGTTGTTAAAAAGGCACTGTCAACTCAAACAGATATTCATGTAGTTTTGATAATAAAATAAAGAGCCATGTAACAACAAAATCCCATAAGATTAGAGAAGTAGCAACAGAGAACAGGAAAATAAACATTACCCAAATCAGAAACAAAGCAATGACATCTATATGCTGTTTCTAGTTAGGAATATTTTCATTCCAAGTATACTGTATACAAGAAATAAGTTGATCATGAATGTTGATTCCAGATACTTTAAAATTTCCATACTGTAAGTCTTTAAAAAGCTGTAAGGGAATAGAAAGCATAACGCATGTGACATTTCCATGTAACCTAGACCAGGGATGGGATTCAAATTTCTTAACAACCGGTTCTGTGGGCGTGGCCTAATTTGTGGGTGTGGCTTGGTCGTGTGACTGGGTGGGAGTGGGTTGCTGACTAGGCATGGATAGGTCATGTGATTGACTGGGTGTGGCTAGATCATGTGACAGGTGGTCATGGCTAAGTGGTCATGTGATGGGTGGGCGTGGCTAGGTGGCCATGTGACTGGCAAACCAGATATAAGTGGTCCTCATTTAATGGCCAGTTACTTAGCAAGTGTTCTAATTTATGACTGACCTCCCCAGAGCTACTTGACCTGTTTTTGGTGTTTTTGACAGCCATACACACACACACACACTCACACACACTTATGACCAGTATCCCACACAGTCTTGTGACCAAGGTTTTCTATGTTTTTTGCCAGTTTCCAACAATTCCTTCTGGTTTCCAGTTAAAAATGTCCATTGGGGAAAATGGACTTGTTTAACAACCAGTGTTTGCTTAATGACCACAAGGTTCACTTAACGACCATGGTGTTTGCCTCACCCAGGGGCGTGCAACCTTAAACTGAGTGTTTAGAGCCATTTTTCTATTTTCTTTTAAACAGGTATCTCTGTCTCTGTCTTTCTCTCTTTCTCCCTCTCTCTTTCTCATCTCTCTCTCACATCTCTTTTCTTCCTCATTTCTCTTTCTCCCCCTCTCTGTTTCTCATTTCTCTTTCTCTCTCTCTCATCTATAACTGCTAAGATTGAAAGCTGTTTTTTATAATCTTTGCAGCTTTTTTCACACACATTTGTGTATATGTATCCAATATTCTTTCTTCCTTTCCACTATGTATTCAAAATAAGCAATGTGTGTGTGTGTGTGTGTGTGTGTAGCATGTGTATTATGTATGTGTATGGATATGTATATATATTTCACTTTTAATGTGTGCCAGTGTACTTACAATAAAAAAATGACAATAAAGGTTATCCTATCTTCTTTCTTTCTTTCTTTCCTTCCCAACCCCATTCCTCCCACACCCTATTTTGTGTTGGCTTCCCAGCCGAGTACTTACCAGGTCTGATCCTGTTTAGCTTTCTAAAATCAGCCTGCCAAACTAAACTGCCCAATAATTTACCTACCATCACTATCTTGCACCTGATTTCATTGTAAACAACCAAACTGCAGTATTACTAAATTTTGCTAGGCATCTTGCTGCATGATACTCTCTTCCGTGATAATCTAGTCCAGAGGTCCCCGAACTTAGCAACTTTAAGACTTGTGGACTTCAATTCACAGAATTCCTCAGCCACCTTTGCTGGGAATTCTGGGAATTGAAGTCCACAAGTCTTAAAGTTGCCAAGTCTGGGGACCCCTGATCTAGTCTTAGCTGGGCAAAACAGTCTGGAGTCACTGGCAAGAGTAGCTCATTGTGAAGAAAAGTTGTGCATCTCCCCAGCCTCGTTCCCTCATCTGTGAAGTGTGCTAAGTTTAAAGGTGCTGAGAGAGGCTGCTTGCAGAGAGAGGAATATGGGGAGACGCGCAACTTTTCTCCGCACCAAGAGGGCTACTCTCTCTCTCTCTCGCCTCCACTCTTGGCACAGAAAAAAGTCAGTGGGAGCAGCAGTTCAGGTGGGCGGTCACCCATCCTGGAGCTGATGCTCATCATACCTGCAGGGGGTGGGGGATGCAGCAGCAGCGAGGCGGCAATGGTGATTCCGGTGGTGTCAGGGCTTCCAGGCTCTGCTCCCCGCAGCCGCCATCAGCTTTCCTGGACTCGATCAAGGGGCACCTCTCCACGTATTCTTTCCTGCTGCAGTTGCTGGGAGAGCAAAAGTTTCCCAGCATAGCGGAAAGCTTCCAAGTCCCCCTCCCATCGGAAACGGCTCCCAGGCAACCAGAGAGAAGCAGGATTCAACCTGGCTTGCTTCTCTGCTTGCCTGGGAGCTGTTTCTAATGAGAGGGAGACTTGGAAGCTTTCCACTGTGCAGCAGCAGGTGGGAGAAGCAGCTGCTGCCTTGGTCAGAGCCTATACGAGCCTCTCCACGTGTTCTCCAGCGGAAGGCAAGTTGTGGGGGAAAGGCGACCGGTGGAGGTGGCAAAAGGCAAGTAGGGGGGAAGGCGACCGGTGGTGGCAGCAAAAGGCAAGTGTGGGGGGAAGGTGGCTGGGGCTTGCAGAGCCACACTCACCCAGGGAGATCTGCAGGGCTGCAGCGGAAGGCAGGCACGCAAGAGCAGGCTGTGTGCAATGTCATGCATGCGTGATAAAGACTAACAGGCAGGCAGTGGAGAAGCGGGCGGAGAGGGGTGTGGCCAGCCAGAGGTCCGATTTATCAGTTCTCCGAACTATGGAGAATCATAACAACCGGATCTATTGATCTGGTCCGAACCAGTAGAATCCCACCTTTGACCTAGACTGAAAATTATCTTCTGGCATAAGGAGCTGTTTCATTCTAAAAATCTCTAGAGCTGCCAAAGGATGCAAAGGACATCTCGTGTTGACATATGCATCATACCAACATGCCAATGTGACCATTTTAAATTGTTTATTATTTGCATCAGATATCATGATGCAAACACTGTTTTGCAAATTATATAAATTACAGGAATGCTTCTTTGCTTTTTGTGGTATATAATAGCATCTTCTGCAATAAATACATCATGAGCCAGATCTGTTTATTACATCATTGTGATTTGTAATGGACACTATATATGCAGCAGAATATGATACTTGAGGGAATTGAATCTGAATATTACAAAATGTGCAGTGCTATATTGAATCTCAAATCTCTTAACAGGATAGATATTCTCTAATGGGGTTTTAGTCTTAACATCCTGAAGAAGCATTCCTTATTTTTGGTATGCAATGTGTGGCATGTTCTGGACATATATATGTGCAAGAATGGTGGAATGACTGATAGTATTAATAGAAATAGGTGATCATTATATTTCTAAATATCACAAGTTTATACATGTTCTAAAACATATTTTTTTTAAAAAACTGCACAACATCATTTTAAAAAAAAGCTCTATTGGATCTAAATCTCATTCTCATCTAATAAGAAATTGGAAGCTAACATTTTCTTTAACAAGTGGCTAAAAGTGATAACTTACAGTTTGGGAAGTATCATTGCATTCAGTACTGACAGGATGAAGAAAGAGAACCGCAACCAGTATCAGGAGCCAAGCAAGCTTCATGTTCAAAATCTGTTAATTTTTGATAGAATTCAAATAGTAACAAGAACTGAGGATTTAACATAGGAAACTAAGGAGCTATTATTTGTTCTTTGGCTCATGATTTGTGGCCATAACCTGTATCAAAGTCAATTGCAAAGCAAAATAAATGAAAAAATCCTTGGAGTTGAATTAAAACATTGAAATTAAAAAGTAAAAATGTTTTCATCCCTAAATCATCCATTCAACCATCTGATGACCTATGTATGGAAGAAACTTTTATTCAGACTTTCTAAAAGATAGGTGACTGTGCACGATGTAGGCAAAAAAACACACATACCCAGATACCTACACAGAGAGATGCACATAGTAATCCTTCATACTCCCATATTCCCAAATTCTGCTTTTTGTTTGGAATAATGATACATGGAAACTTTTGCAAAGGTGTCCGACAAATCAACCTCATGCAGAATACATATGTAGGAGGCAGGATCCTGGCCTTTACTTCTCATTAATGTAGAACTTTCTAAGTCATCTGGTTCTCTCCCCAATTTCAGAGTGTTTTTTCTTATAGAAAATGTGACTAGGTAGGAGAAAGTCTGTGAAACGTGCTCCCTCCATTTTTCAAAGTAGATACGATTTTCTTTTTCAAACATCTCTAGATGGCAAACCAAACAGCAATTATTATTTTTAGGAATTCAAAAGTTACAAGTGCCAAGTCCACTTGCTAAAAGTACAAGCTCTTCACATTCATGAAGATGCATTTCTTCAGCTAATTAATATTGTTATAGATTTTTATAAAGTACATAAAGTAACAAATACTCTCTAAATGCAACTTCGATAATTGAAGAACATTGCTTCTTGCTCCCAACTGAGCTCTAAAATGGTTCCACTTTAAAGGGCAGCACAAAGCAGAGAGTCATCTCTCATTGTCGTGATGCAATTTATGTGACCATTCTTTATAAAGAAAACTGCATAAATCTCTCAAGGGTTGATAAAAAATACCATTAATAAGATGTTTATTTTATACAGTGCAGTTGCTTGAAAAACAAAACCAAGGTTGCGGTAAAGTTTCGTGGTGAAAGCATCTCTCAATCTTATCTTCAGCCATATTTTTTTTTTAAAAAATCAAGTATATGCCCTTTCTCAAGGTTTCCTATTTACTGCCAAAGCAATCTTTGTTACGTTTTAGGTGGTTTAAAAACAAAGTACAACTTCAAGGTAACAGTAGAGTTAAATACGACATCTCACAAAACATAAATCGTTCAGTATCTTTTCTGAATTTCATAAAAAATCAGTACCAGCTTTTGGATTATGAAGCAAACTTTGGTGTCATACAATTGTACCATAATTTATTTGTATATATCATACCTTCTTAATTTTCCTCCGGAATATCATACTTGCATATTTTCCTGTGATTGAAAAAGAAGAGAGAGGAAAGTTGCCATGTTTCTGCACTTGGCTGCAACCTTTGTACCCAATTACCAGGGAGGAAGTTTAAAATAAACTGCAGGACACCTTTAGCAAAAGATTGACTATTTGTGTTCATCTATGAGTTAGAGGCTTACAGCCAATCAAGAAGACTTTTGAATATGATCTGTGTAGTTTTATGACATTAAATTGCAAGGTAAGGGCGGAGAAATCTCCTAAAGTTTGCAATAAAAGATATTTGTATTGGATACAAAGAGCTAAGGCTAGAAAGGTAGAGTTCTTCATTTTTTAATGGGGATGGTGACTGCCACCAGCAATAAAAACATCAATCTTGGCACAGCATAGCCTGTCTAAATTTTGTTTTTAAAAGGAAGCAGGCATGTGCTTGATTTTAAATCAAAGGTCTGGAAAAAAAGAGCTAACCAATACTAGCTGAGCTTCATAATAAGGGTCTGAACAGTGTGAGGAAATGCTGTTTCTGTCATACTTTCTTTAATAGTCAGGTCCTCTTCCCAATCCACCTCAGCAATTTCAGTGTTTTAGTTAGTGTAAGCAAATTGTAGCCTTCATGACCCTTTTTTGTGGTCCCAAGAGAACCCTCCAAATACATTGTTGAATTTTAATTTCCTGACACTTTTTTGTGGTGGGAAAGATAAAATATGAAATGTTAGTTAAAAATATGTATAATATTGTTTAAAATGTTTTTTTTTTAAAAAAAAACAGCTTGAAACCAAAAAGTCTTCATAGTTGACAATGGCATTTTTATATATTCCTTTGAAAACTATATTAATATATCCTTGAAGTGATTAAAAGTTGAGTTCAGCTCAAGGAAGGCATGTCTTTTTGTTGTTATTGCTTTGTTTTTGCTTTCACTCTCTTTAGTGTAAAATTTACTGCTGTTCTAAATTTAAAAATTAAATGCAAAAAAAAGGTGAATCAGGTTTACAAAATATTTCTTTTTGTAATGCAGCAAAGAAAAACTAATTCAAGCTGTGGAAGATGACATCCGCCAGGAAAAACAAGCGGCAGAAAATATAATAAAAAATATGTCGGAACAAGATCAAACCAAGTACATAGAAATGAAAATGGCAAATGAAAAGCTCTTGCAGGTAGTCTTTAATATTTCCCTAATTTACAGTTTGATGTGTGCCAGAATAGTTTCAGACCAAGGAAATTAAAAAAAAAAAAAATCCAGAAACTTCAGTCAACATATCAAGGGAAATATATTCCAGCCAAATCTAAGTTTTTAATCTTTTAAAGGTTGAACAGGTGTGATTAACTCTTTACCACAGAAATCATGTTACAGAATCTACCAACCTCTTTTTCTTTCTTATACCTTTAGTTCTCCAGTTCTTGCCAGGCACATGATTTCTTAATTTTAAAGAAACCATAGACGTGTGGCTTGGTAGCTGTCTCTCACACTGGAGGAACCAGCCATTGCAAGACTAATTAAGCATGCGTGATGCATTAGTGAGATAGTTTTCTTTATAGAAAAGTTCCATGTAGGAGTGAAAGATTCAATTGACCCCATTGAATAAAAAAAATTGTTCAGAAGAAGATAAATGAATCTAAGGTTTAAAGGAGAACTGAACAAAATAAACAAATCTAAGGTTTAAAAGAGAACTTGATTGCAGGGCCAGCGCAACATGCAATATGCTCGCATTGGTGAAATAGGATTGTGTGTTTGTTAGTAGGATTCACTGGGTTAGGAATGTTTTAATCTTTCACTGAGTTGCATTGGGTTGGAGGGGTGACTAAGGGAGGCTCAGCCAATCTCACTGTACACATGTTGTACACTGACAATAAAGAATTGAATTGAATTGAAAAAACATATTTCTTTAATATCAGAACATTTACAATCATGTCACATTTTGAAGCATGAGCTATAATCTAACTATGGTTGACTAAGTTACTTGGACTACAGCTATTATTCCTTACATTTTTATGTTTGTTTCTATAAGAATCTCATTTTAGCTGTGCAGGAACCTAGTAAATTAATTTTGACTATAAAATTTAGCAAATAAAAATCCTGAAATCTAGAGACTTTCCCATTCAGGTTTTGAGTTCATCTATTTCAAAGGGAAACTGATTTCCATTGTTTATTATCCACAAATGCAGAGGAAATTATTCCAATTACCGTATTTGCCGGCGTATAAGATGACTTTTTTGCCCCGAAAAACATGCCTCCAAGTGGGGGGGTCGTCTTATACGCCGGTATATCCACTGCCGGCTTTCGGATGCTTGTTGGATGCAGCGAAGGCGCCTCTGGCTTCCCGGATCCCCTGCGTCGCTTCCGCTTCATCCCGCTCGCCTCGCTCCGCCCGAGGCTGCAGCCTTCCTGCTCTTCCCACGGCCCCTGGCACTCCGCCCTGCCGCTGCAGCCCCGGGGATTTCTGGAGGGCGTTTCTGGTGGTGGTGGGGGGTCGTCTTATACGCCGGGTCGTCTTATACGCCGGCAAATACGGTATTCCTGGAATTATTATGTGTGGGAGATCTACATTTTGAGTCACAGTCTAAGACTGGTGGAAACTTAAATAATTCAACTCCTAACTGAGGACCTAAGTATGATTATGATCATGTTGAAGATGGAATTAGTCCAGTTATTAAATTCTTCAAAGAAATGGGTGACATATTTATCAAGTATAAGATTGGATGCCCTGAATACAAATGTACATTTATATAGAATATGGCCATAGCTGGGCTGCCCGTGAAGCCTTAATTTTCAAAGTTTCTTTCAAGCACTAAATCTCTTTAATAGTTTTTTATTAAATGAAAATCTTACTTCCTCTTCTAGGAATTATCTTCTTTACAACAAGAAATGGATGCTATGAATATGAAAGAAGAAGCTCTGGAAGCAGTATGTATTTTCCTGTTCTCAAATTCATTACATAATGGAAGGATAAGTTGAAATGCGATGATTCATAAATAAGTGTCTTACATACAATTAAAAATGAAGTCAAAATCCCTGTCTAGTATCATTTTAGCTGTTTCTTATCTTCAGGACACTATCTGGTCCTTGGGAAGGGCTACATAGATGGATAAACAAAGCGAAATCCAGTTTAAACACCTGAATGCTTGTGGATAAAAAAGGTGAATTTTGTGGTTTGATGGTGTATTGTCCCAAGATGTAAGCTGATCCAAGTAAAGCTGCCTTTTGCCATTGACTGAAGCTGATTTTGTAAATGCCAGTGGTGTTCATGGGGTTGCACCCAAAGCACCCAGATGTTTAGGGATTGCACCCAAAGCACCTATTACTGTTGGTACTATTCTTGTTTCTTTTGCCACAGTCATTCAATTTCTATTTGAAGGTTATGATATTTTGTTGATTTTCTCCAGTTCTTTCTCTTCTACTCAAATCATTATTATGATTTGTCACACAGTCAGCAAGGTATTTTGAATGGATTTGGCATTTTTATTTATCTATCAAGTCCTTCTTAATAATCTGGGATAAATAGATAGTATTTAATTACTAATCCTATTATTATGTTCAACTCTCAGTGACTCTTTTAGTAAATTTTAACATAAAATACTGGAAAGGATAATTGTTTCTTGAAGGAAAATTATCACTGTTCGCTTCCTCTGTCATTTAACATACTACAGTAAACCATATGGCCAGATTCACATATTACATAGCATAAAAGAGCCTCAGTGGCACAGTGGTTAGAGTGCAGTACTACAAACTACTTCTGCCGACAGCCAGCTGCCTGCAATTTGGCAGATCGAATCCCACCAGGCTCAAGGTTGACTCAACCTTCCATCCTTCTGAGGTGGGTAAAATTAGGCCCAGATTGTTGGGGCAATATGCTGACTCTGTAAACCGCTTAGAGAGGGCTGTAAAGCACTATAAAGCGGTATATAAGTCTAAGTGCTATTACTATTGCTATAATGAGTAAATTTAGCCATTGGGACACACATGCAGTTGTGTCTTATTCAATAAATAAAAGTTAAGCAAACTATTTATAATGTGGGAACTTTTAAGTAGGCTCCTACTATTCGATTTATAATGTTAAACCACAATATTATACTAACCAACAGAACTTCTCTGTAACGTTCTAAATACTTGTTATCCTTAGTTTAATAACTCCCATAATTTTTATATGGATATGTATCAACTGTTGTTTGAATTTTCCCATTTGATTGTTAGAAAATTACTATCTGCTATTTTAAAGGTTATAATTTTGATAATGCTTCGATTTCCTTAGTTTCAGAATCCTATCAGAAAGTAATTTTGACAGCTGGTTTTATTATCTTGTAATTTTCACACATTGGCAATCATAATTTGGACAATACATATGTTCTTAAATCAAGAATGGTTAAGAAGGCTCAGAAATAGATGTGAAATAAGAAAATGGATACAGATATTAATCAGCAGTCTATGTCTCTATATGTGAAGATAGAGAATGACTTTGTTTTATCTTCGTTTAGAAGTATTTAGGAGTGATAATGTATGAATCAATGAACATATATAACATATTATAAAGCAGGGGTCACCAACCTTTTGGACCTCAGGGACCACCAAACTCATAATTTTAAATCCCGTGGACCAGAGACCCTGGGAAAATCCCCAAAAAAGTCTGCAGGAAAATTCCCCACCCCGTTTTCCTACCGATCAATCATTCTTTATTTGGGATCGCAGGATATAGCCTCCAGCTCCATTCTCAGGGGAAGAGAGAAAAAGAGAGACTTTTGGCTCCATGCTAGGAAAGCAGCAGAAGCAGCAGAAGTCTTTCTTTCTCTCCCCTGAACTCCACCAGAAATGAGTCTTTGTGAGACTTGTTGCATAGCCTCTTGGAGCAAGATGCCTTGCAGGGTCCCAAAGACTCATTTCTGGCAGAGTTTGGGGGAGAGAAAAAAAGACTTTTGCTGCTTTCCTTGAGTGCAGCCAAAAGCAAAAGAAGAAGCAGAAAGAAACAGCCCCAGTGGCCAGGCCAGGCGCGTGGGGCAAGTTCCCCCCTCCTCCCTTCCC